TGGTTCTTGTTGTTGTAGTAGCGGACATAACACGCTTCCCCGTGAAACTCCCTCGTTTGCAGTGAAGTATGATGTTGTCGGTTCTGACGCAATTTTTGCTGCTCTTATATGTGGACATTATGGCTAAAATTAGTCTTCCTTGAACCCCTCGCTCTATCACACTCTCCCTCATAGCGTATTTTGGAAGTTTGTCAAAAGCTTTCTCTAGGTCTAGGAAAGCTCGATAGATCTCTGTACGTTTTCCATAATTTGCTTTATATTGAAGATGTGGTCCTTTATGCTTCTTCCTTCCACGAATCTGCTTTGAAATTGCTCTAGTTGTGGTTTTAAGACTTTAGAAAGTTTTTCTTGTAAGACTTGCTCATATGCTTTCGATGATATGCTCAATAATGTTATTCCTCTATAGTTACTGCAATCTCTTTTATCCCCCTTTTTTAAATATTGTCACAATGATTCCTATTTTCCAATGCTCGGGCACCTTTCCCTTAGGTAGTGGTTTGTGCTCTTGCCGCCAGTGCCCTGTTCAATTCCATCATTTTCATCGCTGTTATTCAATAAATTTTTGAAATATGTTCTCCACCTGTCGATTATATCGTTGTCGTTGTCCAGTATCTTTCCATTTATGTCTTTTATTTGTTTTATAGTTCCAAGCTTATCTTTGGTCCTTAAATTTTTTTGCGTTTTGTAGAACAATGGTTGGTATGGTCTAAGTAGATTTTATTTTCAAAATCTTCCCATCTTAACTTTTTCTTTTTGTATTTTATTTTCCTGATAGCTGTCGTTGTTTTTAGTTGCTAGACATTTTTCCATTTTTCTTTTTTTATTTTAATTTATCAATTCCACCATGCTGTGTTTTTTATGTTTCTATTAATTTTTGTTACTCCACATACTTCTGCGCTTGTTTTTAGTATCGTACTTTAAAAAGATGTCCCACAGTCAAATATCGATTTTTCTTTTCTAATGATTACTTCTGTAGTGTATTTAAGAACATCTTGATTAAAAAAGTATTCATCACTAGCAGGTCATTCTGGACGCAAGAGTCAATAATTCTCAGACCGTTATTATTTCTGATGTTTTCTACGAATAACTTTGGGTTTGTCTGTTTTTAACCATCATACCGGCAATAATTTTGTCAAACCAGAAACAGAAATGCCAAAAAAAAATTAAAAGTGGTTTATATTTGTATATAAAATAAAAAGATGGATCATCTACAGAAAACTAGAGTAAATCAGCACAGACATTGATTTCAATACAATTCAATATTTGTATATATGTTGCAGTCAAAGCATTCATTTAGTAAATGCATACATTTGCTAAACTCCGTAGATGAAGTATTCATTTTAACCGAAATGAACACATTTGCTAGTGGATGTATGCATTCACGGACTGCTTCTAGTCAAAGTGGGAAGTGGGTTAAATTAACCTCTTTATTCATGCTGCACCGTTTGCTGTTTGTTGTTTTTCCGTTTGAGATTCTTGGTAAGTGAATTGATTAAATTGTATGTGTCCAGAGTAATTAATAATTATTAATTATTTTTTTAGTAATAAATATAAAATGGATAAAGAAGCGATGAAATTTAAATTCTACGAATATATTAACATAACTCCACAAAAAGCTAACGGCTTTCGTTTGACTGTGGAAAGATGTACAAAACTAATAAATGATGTTGAATCCGCTAAATCTGATCAGAAAAAAAATCTTCACTTCTGGTTACTAAAACATTATGATATAGTGTATGTATGTGATGTGGATAAACTAATTGCACCAATAGCAAATGAAAAAGTGCTGTATTATGTTACTGTTGAAGAATTGTTTGAAGTTTTATATGAAACTCATTTATCAATTGGACGTGGTGGACGAGACAGAATGAAAAAGGAACTCAACCTTCGCTTTAAAAATCTAACAGCACAAGATATTCAAACATTTTTAAATAATTGTGAAGTGTGACTTAAAAAAAGGGCGAATGAAAAGAAAGGCTTGGTGGTTAAGCCAATGTTGTTTTCTCATTTTAATTCAAGATGTCAAGTAGATTTAATTCATTTCCAATCACAGCCAGATGATAAATTTAAATTTATGTTGGTATACCAGGACCACTTAACAAAGTTTGTCATTCTTAGAGCTCTTAAGAATAAAGCTGAGTTGCATGCCTTAAATCAAAAAAAATGTGCAATTCCAAGTGCCATGGAAGTTTGTATTGTTGAAACAAATAAAGTGTTTTTTTATTTATAAATGTTAGGTGCTTTTGTATTTTTATGTTATAACTAGCTCTAGTGCAATAATCATCGAGACTAAATTTTATTTTGAAATTCATCAATTAACGCTTTGACTGCAGTTGGTTAGTAACTGCATGCATTACTTAGTTAATGCATGCAGTTATTAGTTAAAGTGTTCATTCCAATAAATTGGGAAGAGAATATATGCATTGGCTAGTAAATGTATACATTGACTGGAATGTACACTTTGACTGCAAGATATATACTACAGGGGGTTATGTTTTTTTGAGGTTATGTTAACATGAACGTGACTGTGACGTGATTAAGTAAGCATACCGACAGTGGGTTGGCGATACACCTGGACGAAGGAAAATCAACGATGCAGATCAATTAACTAGATGGCTAGTATAACACTTTCTGACATTTCTGTTTTTAAACTCACAAAAAATAGTTTTAAAGAAGCAAAACTGTATCGATGAAATGATATTCAACGAGGCTGTTTTGTATCTATCGTCGCGGACTTCGAAACAAAAATTATGCAAATGGTGTATCCCGCAAAACAATCCAGCAACAGAACTTTTGAACGAAGTTAATCGTCAATTACATTATAAACGTTTGCCTTGCCAGGTAAGGATTGCGTAAAGTTGGTTGGCATTTGAAAGGGAGAAATTTCTAGCTTTCGGAATCTCGTTAAAAGTTTTGCCCCGTTGTTCCGCAATTTACACACCTACACAATAATAACGTGATTATTTTGTTGTTACGGTAAAGGTAAGCGTTTCAGGCGTTATTAGGTAAAGGACAAACATATAACACCTTGATCGTTATATTCATTGGGGACCTAATTTTCTGCTATTTTAGTAGTCTAATTTTTGTTCTGTTATTAGGGAATCAACCAAACGACGTAATGAGCGAGTGCCTTGTCCCAAGTATATATTCTGTGGTAATAAGGTCTCTGGTTGCATCTGAATAAAAATCGAAGCGATGCTCTCTTTCTGGAAGCCATGCTAAATATGGAAATGTATAACTCAATAAAGACCAGTTACTATCAACTATGGCCCTCAATATTCAAGAGAAGAAGTGAACTGTTTTTTCTCTAACTTTATTAAATTTTATTAACCAGATTTTTGTTCATTTTTTTCCAATCGGAATTTTGTCGGGAATACGTCAACTGTCAACATACATCATGAAAAGTCTAAGTTCTAATTTGATTTATTTCGTATGATTAGGATAATACAATAATACATTCAATTCAAAAAGTACATATATTAATACCAAAACGAAAAATAATTTGAATATCATTGCTAATTTTTTCGAAATTTCAGAGTAACAGATGTAAAATTGCAATTATTTTGTAATTTTTCATATTTGATCTATTAATAAAAGTTTTGAAAAGTGAAATAAAATTTATTGGAGTTTTCCGATACGACGTTATAGTAGAAGGAACACACCACAAACCTTAAAATTTCGTATTTTAACTCGAAATATAAGAAATATATAGAGGCCCTATATACCGATACTACAGGAATGTATGAGGCAAATATGAACAGATTTTTGAGAAGGCCAATCAACCTGCTCATGCCCAAGATTTAAAATTTCGTTTTTAATGACATTGCGACATTAAAAAATCAACATATTTTCTCAAAATATCCCTAGTTCTCATTAAATGTTCAGTGAAAACATTTTAGTGTGCGGAAATCGCTGGTTAGAGAGAAAATGGCGCAGTGTGGTAGAGGTGGTAGAGTCATGCGTGGAAAATCATAACATTCTCTTCGAAAATATCAAAGCCGAATGTGCATCAATTTTTACCCTTGAAGGGCCACTATATTATTTAATAGCCATATGGTTAGGGTAAAATTTTAGTTTCCAAGACATCAATTATCACCTGACCCATTGTTGGGATACCTTATATTAAACTTTGGAAATTAAAGGTGTAATTAGTTAAATGACTTACACTTTTGAGAAAAAATAACTGGTGACGAATCATAGGTATATGGTAAGGACGTCGACATCAAAGCCCAGTCGTCCCAATAGAAGCTTACTCTTTTCTTCAACTATCGTAGCGTAGTACATCAAGAGTTCTTACCACAAGGTCGTACGGTCTAAAAGGAGTATTACCTTAAAGTTATGCGCCGTTTGCGAGAAGCAATATGAAGAAAACGTCTGGAAAACAATTCATGGATCACGATAATGCACCTGCTCAATCATTGTTGTTTGTGCCTAACTTTTTGGTCAAAAACAAAACCACAATGCCTCAGCCATAATATTCACCGGATATGGCCTCTTGCCGCTTTTTTTCGTTCCCAAAACTCAAGAAATTCATAAAAGGAAGAACTCAAGGTTATACCAGAAAGTGAATACCAGAAGTTCTTCGAGGATTGGGAAAAACATTGGTACAAGTGTCTTATATCTCGGAGGGATTACTTTGAAGGGGACAACATTGATTTTTATGAATAAATAAATACTTTTTGATAAAACTTAAAAGTCACCTTATAAAAAGTATGTATTATCATTTTACAAATCTTTTGAATGTTTACAACGAAATTTCGCACATTTCAGGGTTAAAATCACTTGGAATCAGTGACCAGGTGATCCGTGACCAATACGTCCATTACCATGTCGACAACGTGCGACGCACCACCGAATCGTCGCCGTCGTAGTCGTCGTCTACGGGGATGATGGGAATAAGTGCGGTCGATATGGAGGCGGATTTGCTGGTGGCTTTGCCGCAAGCGGCGGTAGAGCAGCAAAGCGGAGGCGATACTCATTCGTTTCTTGGCCGGCTCGAAGTAGAGACGCGACGACGGTGTGCGTACGCGCGACCAGTGACGCCCGGCGTCGAGTTTTATTTTGCGGGAGATCGGAATAAACAATCGGGAGACGGGACAGCAGCTTTTTTCACAGAATCCGACGGCTCTTTTTCCTAGACTCTTTTATAATTTCCGGTGTCGCGAACATTTTTTCACCGACTATTTTTGCGTTGTGTTAATACGTGGCGGGGGTGTTGTTTGCGAAGGGGGTCGGCGGAGGCGGCTGCGAGCGTCGACTAAGTGCCGGTAAGTGCAACAAAATCAAATAACCAGGTTGAACTAACTTGTTGTCCTTTGATTATACAGTGTGTCCCACTTATGAACTGTACATCCTTGTAAATAGTTTATTTATACGTCTCTGAAAATGAACCAAGATGTTGTTTTCCATATTGTTTCAACTTATGAGACGATTTAACAAAAGCGAGAGAAGAGAGAAGTACTATAAGGGATTAAAAAAAAACCCAATTTTTATGATGTTTTAATACAGGGTGTTTGAAATATCGCTTGCGTCCCGCTTAAGGCTGTATATCGTTGTAAAATCTTTGATTACGGTTTGATTTTTATATATCTCTTAAAAACGCACTAAACCCTTATGTTTCTTATTGCGTCAATCTGAAGCCATGGTTAACTGGGACTACTTTTTGATGTCAAATATCGAGAAGGGCTATTAGGAATTTCTTTAAGAACAAAGTGGCAACGAATTCTTATTCAGTACTACATAATAACAAATTATTAATTATTATTTTTTTTTTATTTAATTATTTTTAATTTTAATTTTTATTTAATTATTTTTATGTTAAAAGACATTAACGATTCTCGTAAAATTTAATATGACTAGAGAGGATTAGATATGAACTAAAGAGACTTTACAACGCTGTATATTTTATATTTAAAATGATTTTTAATTCTCATCTAATAACGAAAATAACAGAAATATCAAAATTGATTGACGTCGGTATACTATTTGTTTTGCAAGTTTGCCATGAGAAGCGAATATTGGACTGCCAAATTCACTCGCTAATTTATATTTTAATTTTGTTTACATTATACCTTTCGAATAATAAGATTTATTAATGTTTTAAGAAGATAATAATTATCCCTTGAAAAGTCTTTTTGTCACTATTTTTGAAATTTGTATAATTAAAATTTGTAATATTTTAAAATCACATACAAAACAATTATTAAAATTGAACTATAAATAAACACTCTATAGGTGATAGGTGAGCATGACTAAGTTGAAGCAATAAGCAAAACAAGGTTTTAGTGGATCTTTCAGAGATCTATCCAAACAAAAAAATCAAAATCGATCTACGAACAAAGATTTCACAAGAGTGACTGTTCTTAAATAGGACACACTATGATGGATATTTAAATTCTAAAATAATAAAGTGACGCACCCTGTATATCGGAAACCTGAATAATGATTTAAAAAACTCTGTGTTGTTAAGCTGTGGTTATGACTTTTTGTGGTGTCATTTTATTGAAGCATGACGTTCTTATGAACATTTTTATTTTACCAAACTTCGATTTCCAATATCAAGTGTGCTATATTTTTCGGAAAGGCCATTTTAATTTCAATAATTCAAAAATATGCCATACTCTACCATACAAAAAGTTAAGTTTTCTATTGGCAACCATTGAACTATTAATTTTTAATTAATACTATAAAAAGTCTTGGTAAAAGTGTGCATTGAAAATGTTTTGATAAAATTTTCTATAGCAAAAACGCGATATTTTCAAAATGCACATTTTTCAACAACACCATTGTAACTTCATAGATATTCCATCCATTTGCGCTTTTTACTATGACGTTTTTTATGAAAATTATTATTACATCTATAACAAAGTTTGGCTAATTCTGATTATAATTAATGGTAATAATAATTAAAATATTGATTATCTACCTAATTTTTTTTTAACTCCTCCCTAAGCTATGTTCTCATATAATTAAAAATGTAAAAATTGCATTTTTTTAGTAAACTATCGTATATACTTTTATCATATATGCTTATTATTGGTTGCAAATTTATGACACTATTATTATACGAAAGTGGATTTGATTTTTAATTTATTAGGTTACTAAATTGTGGTATAACGGACTTAAATTATTAATATATTTTCGATCATTTAGAGTATTTATTTCATATTTAAAACGAATCATTTCTTTGATTGCCAATTTTTGATACTTATTATCTTGTGTTAAAATTTTCATGTTTATGTGAAGCAGTGGATGTGTTTTTATGTATTTATGTCTATTTATACTATTGCATTTTGTTGGGCAATTTAAATTTAATAACTTAGTCCGAATTAAAAATCAAATTAAAATTGAAAATATACCTACTACTAATTAAGCTCTTAGCAATTAATAATAAAATAAACATAAACTTCAAAATTAAGAGATCGATGTCAGTACTTTTGTTGCCCTTTCTTAATTATTTCAAAATATCACTAAGATATGTAAATATTTTAGATGAAATATTTAATTCATATAATACTAGTATGTATTTTAGATTTTTGATAAAGATCTATCTACACTGTGATGGAGTAAAATTAAAAATTTATAGAATTTTACGATTACAACCTCCACCTAAGAACAACTCCAGCATTATATTTAACAATTTCTGTTTAAAATTTTCATTCTTATCAAAATATACCAAAATTGATAAAGTCGATATAATTTTGATTTTTGCTTTTATACACATATAAAATACTAAAAAATCATGATTTGGTTGACATTTCGACAAATGCAGCCGCTACCGCTATTTTATCAAACCGATATCAGTCAAAACAGTCTATAGCAGACCTATACAGTCATATAAGGTTCGAGTTCTATTGTTCTCCACATATAAGGTTTGAACGGGCAATAGATTTGAGGAATGTTTTTTGCATTATCTGATAACATCGAAATTGAATTAGTGTCCAAGACGCACGTCAGCAGTTACCTTATACGATCCTTATTTCAATTTAAATTGCTTGGGACTTTCAATCTGGTAATAATTTTTAACAATCCAAACTTGCAACAAACTATACAAGAATACAGTACATAAATATTTCAAGATGTGGCATAATAATTAATTTTAATTTGATACAGTTAAATTGTGTCGTTTTGGGACAGATACCATTATTTTTCCAGCGTTTTATACATCTTATCCAAAATCTAGATGACGGTCGTATCGAAAGGATACGTTGTTTTCAAAATTTGATCATGTCGTCTTGTAAAAATGAAAACGCGTCAAAGAACGAGTTCGTCTTTTCTCAGTACTCTACAATTTTTTTTTTAATTTCAAAATAGAATAAACGAAAGAAGCGCGATTTTTTCATGAGCAAAATGGTTGTTCTATTCTTTAGCGGCAATCGAACCCGGCCAAAGTTGCAAAGCCGCGTCCATTAGAAATAATGAAAATTTTCTTTCCTAATGTTCCTTAACGAATACGTTTACACTAAAGACTTCGCGTTTATATCCATAAATCGTCCAAATTGTCGTTATCCGTTGCCTGATATTAGTTAATAACCCTTTAAAACAAGAGAGTTTACGTGCCTGCGTGGCGATTTCTCTAGAACACCCGTGAAAGAAGAAATTTGACGGTGATACGGGGGGGTTGTACAAAAAACCATTATTTTAACTTATAAAATCAAATATGTTACAGGATGACTGGCCTAGCTGGAATTTTTTTTATATAAATAGTTACTTATTTTTCATTTTTATAGTGGGTAGGTTGTGTAAGTATACTAAACAATTAAAACAGGATTTCCCAAGAAAAAACATTATAATGGTCCCGTAGAGACGATTCAATTTCCATATTCCAATTGAGAAAATGTGCGTGAAAGACGTTTGTTTTTACAAGTTTACTACAACGAAAAATGTTGAAAACATCAAAGATGACTATGGATAGTGTAAATACTTTTTTTCTGCTCCTTGCTACATTAATCAAACATGCGAAAAGCGTCCCTTTAAGATATCTGCTTCATTAAGAATGAGCTACGTACTTTAGCCACGGGTGTGGAAGTTATCGGCCATTTTTTTGACTTTGCTAATTTTGGCGGTCGCTTCACCAGAAAAAGTACAATATAAAGCACGTTGATAAACTTCTTCAGTCGTTTAACCTCTCCACTCGCACCAAATCAAATTCGGTAATTAAAATTGCGTTTACCAAACTTGTTGTTCAATATTTTTGAAAACATTTATTTATTTTTTTAATTTAATAAGTAATATATAACAAGTTCTTTAAACAGTGCTTAATAACCTTGCTTTGAGATTACTTACAATTTATTTGCACTTTTTTTAAAACTACTATTATTGCAAGTCTAGTAATTTCAAGAATTTATTTAAAAAACTGCATTTGAGTGGATCCTAAAATGTAAGAGGATAGTCCAAAAATTGGTTTTAGGGAACAGAAAAATTAATATAATGCTGAATTTTATACACTCACCGACAAAAAAGGGGCCCCTCAATCCTGGCATCCAATTTTAAAGATGTACCGCTCGTTTAATTGTGATATACATATTTTTTAATTGTAAATTGATTTCTCAGTAACGAATCTATTTCCAAGTTTTTTTTTTCGGAATTTCGGACTGCCCCCTAGAATGCAACAGAGACCGAGGTCTTGTCAACTGGAATAACATTAGAATATGACCTTTTTTGAATGTATCTTTTTTTTTAGACACACTGTTTCAAAGCAAACGTCTCGCATTAAGCTGCGAACAAATAAACATCAAAACGTAAATTCATCTGAAAACTAAAGGGTTTAAAAACTAAAAAAAAGGCTAGTGTTACAGCCTAATCCCATGCGCCGAGAGATAATGTCCCGATTACAAAAACGAACATGCTCCGTTGTGATTCCAGTTGACAACACTGTTGTTGCATTCTACAACTCGCATCGTTGCATCCCGTATATTCTTAAATTCAAATCTGAATAAAAAAAATTGAGATAGCAGGAAATTAGGACCAGTTTTAAAGTTAAATACCTGCAGAAATATATAAGTGTACCAAATATGTTGCGTACTATACTTCTTCTACGACCATTGGTTTTTGGGTACATTTTTACAAAACAACACGAACAAATTCACTGACATGACAGGCAGAATTGCCAAATGTCAAATTTCGAGCCGTGGGAAATATTTAGTAAATATCCGAAGTGGTTCGGATCCGTGGGAAACGAACCTGACGTTGTAAAATGACAGTTTTCGCACGCTAGATCGGTGTATAATTGGGCATTTTAGAGAAGGGAGTAGTGTAGGGGGGGTGT